ACAGATCTGAGCCAGTGAAGCCAATCTTGAAAAAAGTTCAGAGCAAAGAAACCAAGTCTGTAGAGACTATGCCAGTGAAGAAGAGAGTTTCTTTTGCTTCCGTGTTAGAGACTTTTTGCAACCTCTCAAAAGATGCATGGAAGGGAGGGATGCAATCTCAAGTCGCAAAGTGAGCTTTGCAATGCACTCTAATAAGGGGGTGCAAGCACTATGCACGGAGTTGCATAGTGGTAACTTGTACAGACCGGTGGAAGTTGTCTTGGCAGAAGGGCTAACTGTCAAACATCAGTACGAACGTACAAGTGAGACAGAACCGAACATCAGGGATTGCAGCACAGACAACGGGCGTATGAGATCGCTGGGAAGTTGTTCTGAAGTGCAGAAAGCAAAAGCTGGTTGTTCAGAAATAAGCTCCGAGCAAGAAAAATTGAGGATGTTGATGTGTCAAACTCTGAAGTTTTCTAGTTGCTCCCGTGTTCATCATGCAAGGAGTTGCACGGTAATGCAAGGGTATCCCGAGCAGAGGGTACAGGGCATCCAATCAGGGGGTGCTTGATACCTTGGCAGCAGGTTTTGTTGTGGATCACCTCACATAGGCTGAGGGGGTGATTTGTGAGATATCATCACCATGTGAGGGGTGATTCTCCATGTGCTGCAAGAGTTGGAAATGTGCAAAGCCAACACACATGAGCTGGCCATGTGAAGCCAACACACAAGATAGCTGGCCATATGCAAGGCCAGCCTCTCCATCTCCATTCTGTTAGTGTATAAATGGAGGCTGAGGGGAGGGTTTGATAAATAGAGCAGAGCAAGCCACAGAGAGTGAGATATTTGAGGCGGAGAAACCGTCTTCCTCGGTGTGAGCAAGGGAGACGGGTGAGTGGGTGAGTGAGGAGAGTGTGAGCTCCTCCTCTATTGTAATCTTTCTGTAATATCTCCAATGTTATAGTGATAACCGGCTACTCTCCCGTGGACGTAGGCATTGAGGCCGAACCACGTTAAATATTGTGTCTCCTTGAGTGTGGGTGTGTTTTTCTGCATGGAATAATTTCTATAAAGTCTTGGGCGGGATCCCAGATCCCAACAAATTTTGGTTGCTGCATTTGGCTGCAGTTCTCATAGTAATGGAAGGTGGGCTGACAGACATTTACCCATTAAAATTGTTGTTTATTACCTATATTAACTTCTCAAATGTACCTTCGTAATTTTTCTAGTAATTATGTGTAGGCCCACAATAAGTATGAATCTTCGTTTGAGACGAGAAGATTGATGTAATTGATGAGATGCTTCTTAATGGACGTGATATCTATGTTTGTCTTGATCAATGCTTTGTGATATAGCTTCCCTTTCTCTATTTTCTCCTATTGATTGTATTTGTAACAATATATATTATTTAAAACAAAAAAAAAAAACAAAAAAACCACACGAGCATATATTTAACAGTATGTCTAGATGGTAGATACACATAGATTGCATGGGGTGCATGGTGATCACGAGTTGTGACTACCTAGTAGCTAAGGTCAATTCCCATCATATACGAATAATAGAATCCTCATTTAGCAATCCCAATACTGGCACCCTTATCTTTTGTGTGTAACTGCTCTTTTCAATCTTGTTCACCTCCCTCTGTGGTTGGTGTCCATGTACCTTTGGTAGCTCAACATTGACTGGTTTGCTTTCTTAGCAATCCAGGTGCACACGAGGATAACTTCGAAGATCAATTTTTACACATTACTGTTGTAACAATGTCGAAATCACATTTTTTATATCATGTTTTGCCATGAATGGGATAAGCTTGTTGCAGCATAAAGAAGTTCTGCTTTCAGAACTATCTCAGCGTGTCCTAATCATGTTTTATTCATATTCATGCTTCTTAAAATTAGACTTTAAGATACTTCTAACTGTGAAAGTAATTTTTATTAGTAATTAAAGATCCAGTAAAATGTAGTTTAATATGCAAAAAAAAGCACAATTCTAATAGCATTATTTTTTTAATACTCTCATGTCAAAATTCTACTCTCCCTAGGTATTAGTTCAGTATATTTGTATTTTTCCCCCCTTAAAATAAAACAAGTGACAGAATCGTTTCATCACAAAATTTATTGTTTTGGAACGAAAGTATACAAAGTTTCAAGACGTGTGTTCCAAACCGTAAATTGCTAGTTTATTAGTATTCTATGGTAGCACAGCTCTCTTAGAACTTAATTAAAAGCTAATTTGATCTCTCACACTCCTTTTTAGTGTAAATTTCAAGCTGGAACTAGTTGCAAGGTCTCCACTGCATACCTTCTCAATTTGAAAATAATTTAAACCCCTCAGAAATCAATTGTTTGTTGTATGCAAGACCCTGCTGAACGCAAAGCTAAAATGCAAAAACTTGTGAGTCTCTGCACTTCTGACATTTGTCCTTTCATGAGCCTATTGAGGATTCATGGATTTATCAGTGGCTGATGATGAAGCCACGTCTAGAAAAGTGAAAAACCTTTTTGTTACTTTCGTAGAAAAACTCTTGCAGAAAGTGGAATGTTCACAAACAAAACAGTATCAGTCAATAGAATAATTACATTGTGGCCTAAAGATTCTTTTCAAAGAAGGAGGCCTAATCGCTATCTTTCTCCTCAACCGTGCATCATTTGTAGTAAGAGTGAGAAAACTTTGGATCACTTATTCTTGCATATTTTCATGTGGCTTTGGATCTGTGGCATCGTCCATTTCATTTGATGCTCAATGGGTAGCACCGGGCACTTGTCTACTAATGATTTCAATGGATTGCCCAGGCTTGGGTGGTACAAGGTAAGCGAAAGTGATGTGGCATTGTGTTATCTTTTCAATATTTTGGGTTATTTGGTTAAAAAGGAATGCAAGGATCTTTGAGGACAATATTGATGACACGGAGTCTTTGTGGGATACAGTGTGTTATTTGAAATCGTTTTAGGCTTCTGGTACAAATTCTTTTAAAGGGATTCCATTTTTTATTTTTATTTTTATTTTTAAATTTTTATCTCTAGAGATTAAAAAGCAATTTGTGGTGTTTAAATTGTATTTTTGTTTTGGCAGATAATGCCTTTTCTTCTTTTGCATTGGACATTTTGTCCTTTATTTGTACCTTTTCTTATTTTTAATGAAATTGTGTTCTGGTGCCGATAAAAAGTAAAAAAAATAAAAAATTACGTTGTGTACTCTATGCTTGTGGGAGGTCGAACTTCTATATTACTCTTGAAGGTGGCTTGCAAGGGAGAGAGATTGAGAGAGACGTTTCATTATCGATAAAGGAGCAAAGTATATCACTGATTTCTGCTGGAGATAGGGACTAGCATTATCTGGGGACCAAAAATCATTCAACTTTCTAGCAGCTTAAGAGTGGTTCAGACTAGTGTTTTATTATTGGGAAAGCTTTTTTGTCCTATGCTCAGTTTTTTCCCTTTGAGGTTCTGCATTGTCTATTTTATTGTAGGTTTTTTACACATCTACTTTAGGCTTGGTCTGTGGCAAATGAAAATCATAATAAAATCATACTATAGTAGATTAGCACACCAAGGATCCTCTAGAGTGAAATTTTCCTAAAGTTTCCTAGAGTGTTACATTGTGTGGTTGAGATTTACTGGCAAGTCACATCAGAAAAATTGATGTGACTTGCCAGTAAATCTCAACCACACAATGTAACACTTTAGGAAACTTTAGAAAAATTTCACTCTAGAGGATCCTTGCTCAGATTAGCATATAAAACCTTCCCCAAGTACATTTTAGATGTAGCTAGCTATCTTCTCCACTTTGAAAAATCTCTGAGGATCCTTGAAGAAACTATGGTGTTTCAACCACCAAGCAAAAGGTGAAAACTGAAACAGTTTTTGAGTTGTGTCGAACGTGTGATTCATGCACATTTTTTTTTCCATGTTTGCCCCCAAAGTTTGTGACACCGAATCTGTTATCTGTGGGACAAAATTGGTAACAAAAATAGCATGATGGGGTTCACACCAACTTGAGTGCTCACATTGTATAATGGAATAGATATACTAGGCAGAGTGGAATCCATTAGTCTAGTAGAAGCCTTTTCTTCTAGCAGATCTTTTTTAGACTGATATATTAAGTCATGGCTATCATTTTCTCAATGATTTCTTTCAGGAAACAGTGGAGTTTTTTCATAGGACGTTTGTAACTCTCCCATTAACACCCGAAAAGAAAAGAAAAGAAAAAAAACAAATATTAACTGGAAAATGGTGTAGATGAGAGAGTGGCACTGTGCTATCAGGGAGAGATGAATTTACACAAAAGGGAGTTTTTTTTATTTTTTTATTATTTTTTTTAATTTTGAAGTGGTTAATATAAAACCTTATTGAGTGCCGATTATCTTGTGCATCCCTTATTGTGCATTCCTTATTGAGTGGTTAATATCAACCATTTTCCATTATCTTGAGGTTTATTTTGTAATTTGCAGGGACATGTTAGGTAGGAACTAGCAAGTCAATTTGGCTTTTGGAAAACCATGAAAAGTTCTGTAGCTTTTGAGATATATATACATATGGCACCAGTTTTTTTTCTTTTTTCTTGCTTTTTTTTTATTTGTTATTTCATTTAAGATTTAGATTAGAGTTACTGCTTTTGTCAGTATTTCAACAATACTTGAAGAGTAATGCCTATACAAAATAACAAATTTTACAAAGTTTCCTTGATGGAGGAGGATTGTATTTGTATCATCTTTACTCACTTGTTTTGGAACGGAGCTGATTTGAAGCAGAAAAGAAAAGGAGATTAAGGTTCTTCTTTTTCGCTAACTTATACGAAGGGATGAAGTCGACACTGTAAAATGAAGAGCAATGAGATAGAATCCGTACTCAATATCTCCGGTTGGGGATATAGGTTTAGGAAAAGGGAGCTTTAACTAAGTGTGTTATTGTTGCAGAAAATTTAACCACAAAGGTAAGAGCGGGATTGACAAGTAAATTAAAGATTCCTTTGCCAAGAAAGCAATTGTAAAGCAAAAATTAAAGTCAGATGAGTGGTTGAAAAAGAAGAGAAGATAACTAGCTTTTCATTATTATTATAATTGTAATGTAAACTTCCAATCCTATATACCATTTATCACTTATTTACAAGCACTAACAAGAAAATTACATAAGCCAACCTTAGAAATCAAACCTGCAAGCAAGCCATAAAAAATTACCCATTAGATGCCTAATTCAACACATTCGTTTATCATCATGATTCAAACTGTTGTCGAACATTCAGTCCCTTGCTTAGAACTCAATGGACCTGTCGGTATAGTAGGTCCAAAATCCATAATCGAAACACAATTAACATTGAACCTATACCGCCCGGACACCCAAGTCCCCACCTTCCATCGAAGCCGTCCATTCACCTTCAGATTCAATACCAGTTTCCCGGCCACCTGATCGCGCCCCACTTCGTAACCGAAGGAGGGATCCACGGGTAACCCTACTCCAACCAAAGACGCGGTTAAAAGGTTGCTCTCTTGATTCCCTTGATAGAAGGGAGGTAGAGAAGTATCAGTAGTAACCTGTTGGCCCTTGTAAGATGCATAAACTTGTAGCACGTCGTAGTAAATGCCGACTTTATTGTTTGGGTTCTTCGAGAGTAGAGTGAGTTGGATGGAGGAATTGAGAAGGTGAGTATTTGAGAGGTTGAGTTCATATATATCGGTTTCTTTGAGAGAGAACTGGGGCTTGGAAGGGTGTAGGATGAAATAAACAAGGAAGATGAGTAATAGGATTGAAAGGAAGATGGTAGAGAAGGTGCAGAATAGCTTCTTGTAGAACTTGCTCACATTCAATCCTTGCTTGTTGCCACAGTGTTTGGGAGATTTTGTGAGAATTTGAGACATTTGCAGCGAGAGAGAGAGAGAGAGAGAGAGAGAGAGAGAGATGGTATACAATGGGTAGGAAGGGGAGGAGGTGGAGTTAATAAAGGAGCACTGGGAAGCAGAAAAGAAAATTTTGGTTGCCGCTTTTGACTGGCAGCTATCATGGTAATGGAAGGTGGGATGAGAGATGTTTACCTATTAAAAATTACTATTGCTTTGTTACACCTATATTAATTTCTCGGATGTACCTAAAAATTCTTAAGCTTAGATATTTTTTAGTAATTATGTGGTGGCCCACAAAAATATGAATCTTTATTGAGATTAAAGGATAGACTTAGTACATGAAACATTTTTAACTAGATGTGATATCGAAATTTCGCTAAGTCTTGTTTGGCATATAACTGTTTTAGATTAAAAATTAAAAAGTTATTAAAAAAACTAAAAAATATATAACTTATACTAAAAAATTAAAAATTCTATTTTCTCTTCATTTTTTATATATCTTTTCGTAAAAAATCAAAAAAGTCATTCTAAACATACTAATTTTTTTACCTCATATTTTAATCAAAAAATTATTTAAAAAGTGAGTACCCAAACGAGGCCTTATCTACGCTTTGCGATATAGCTTCCGCTTTCTCTATATTTTTCTTATTTATTGTGAATATATATATAAATACTTTAACTGTCTGTCTAGATGATGGTAGGTACACATAGTTTGCATGGGATGCATGGTGATCACCAGCCATTTCCCATCATGAATATGCAATGCACTTTGCATTTTCTTTTCTTTGTTTTTTTTTTTTTTCCGCCTCTCTCACAGGCATGTTTGAGACTCTCTACTAGTCATCGGTACATGTAGTTCTTCGTCCAGCACATACATAAACCTAGGTTGCTGTCTATGGGGCTAGGAATAGAACCAGAGAACTCTTGCTTAGCAAGAGAGCCAGATCATTGATCCACCTTTGGTGTTCAATGGCCAGAGATTCTGTCTCAATTTTTTTTTTTTTTTTTTTTTTTTTGGGTCTCAATTCGCTTAAATCATACCGTGAAATTCCTATACTTCAAAAATTTTATACGATTCAGCAACTAAGATTGAATTAAAACAGAAAATTGTAGATTTTTTTGGTGCAAATAATTCACAGCCCTTTGCCATAACTTGGCTTTACAGTATATATGCTATTGCAAGTAGTTTTAATATTTTATGGACCATAATGATTGATGTGAGAGTGATCCTGGGATATCTACGGCGCTTTTAGAATTATTGAAAGCAAAGTTCAGGCTTTTTCAAAATAGTGATAAAAGTAGCCAATATAGCCTTTCCTATTGATTGGAGATGAGAAAATGGTGCAAATGGGTTAGTAATTGAATGGCATCTCTCTCTCTCTCTCTCTCTCCACCTACCTTGTTTGGTGAAATATAAATTAATTATTGTGCAAAGTATGAAAGAGTTTTGAAATCTTGGGTCTTTGTTTAATTTATTTATTTGAGCTGTGCACAAAAAAAGAGTTAGAAAGAGGAGCAAGACATGGAGAATCTGGAAAAACTTTTTGTTAGAGGTGGGGGCTTAATGAATGCGTCTCATATAGCTGTTTCTTTTGAGTGAAGAAAAGGGTATTTAGGAGATTGTTAGTTTTGTTACCTGTGGTCTCATCTCATTACATTACTTGCTGAGATTGAATCATGGCCACTTGATTTGATTACAAACATAAAGTGGACCATCCAGTAATATAAAAAGTTTTCATACGATGGTGATGAGTGATAACCCTCCGTTCTTCACTATTGGATGGTGGCGAGACTGTTTGAGTTGTGTGAATCTTGATAGGTATTGAAATATAAATTCTTCAATTGTGATTGTGGGAGTGAGGTTATTTTTGATATTTCACAATTTTGTCATGTTGCCTTAATAATGCTATGTATATATTTACAACAATGCTACAGACCACTAAATTTCTACCACTAACACCACCACTAATGATGTAGCAAGTTAAAAAAAACAAAAACTAAGACACAAAACACATGTAACAGTGGGTCCCTAGTGCAACCACTAATTAGTGGTCTGCATCATTTTTCATATATTTATAGTTGAAAGGGCTGCTAAAGGGGAAATTCTATTTTCACATACCAAATTTTCTTAATCCACACACTTGATGAATTTTTTCAGAATCACAATTTTATTCTTTAAAAAAATTACCATCTCACCCACTACCATCTCACCCACACAACTCACAATTTCTCCATACACATTTCACCCATCACCATCTCACCAACTACTTCACTGCCAGTGGTACGCTTCCCATGCCCAAACCTCAACCATACACAGCATTTCCTTATCGAATCTCTCTCTGTCTTTTTCTTTCACTGTTAATTGGCCAGAGCAGACGGATTAAACTGGAAAACCTAATCCTTTGTCTCAGTAATATTGACTCAAAGTATTCAATTTATGTGCAAACTTTGTAGACTTCTCAATACCAATTGTTGAACTTTAGAGATAATTTATGCTTAGTACATAAAGTTCGAGATAACGAATGTTTGCATAGTGATATGTATATATATATATATATAGAAATTGTGGTATTTATTTATTGTTAGAAATTAGAAATTCAAGTAATTCAGTTTTAAGGTATGGATATAAATATATAAATAGATAGATAGATAATAGATTTAGATAAGAAAAATAGAGTCCTATAATGTCATGTATGACACGGAAAAAAGTAGAATCTTATCATGGCATGTTTTCTGCCTTTCTTCTTATAAGAAATGCAGAAATATTTCAAGCTTGGATAAAAATCAGCCTATATGAGTTTGCCCATGAAAATCGTGATGGAGATCTTTGCAAGACTACTTGTCCAAACACTCGCATGTTGCAGGTGCATTTGCAAGTCATGGCACTCTTTAGTTGCCAAACCTTTTTTCATCAGCAAGCACCTTCTTCATCGTTCAATCAGTGACAAAAATAATAGCAGCAACAGCCATGTAATCGTCCAATGTGGACATCGAAATCGATCGATCGTGATGGAGGGAGGTTGCATTGCGATGGAGGGGGCGAAGAGGACTGGGGAGGGGACGGAGAAGACTGAGGAAGGGGTGGGGAGGTGAATCTCAGAGGTGACGGTGACCAATGATGATCGCGATGGCAGTGACTGCGACCGGCGATGATCGCGATAAAGGTGACGGCAACGTGAGGGGCTATGTAAGAATGGCTGAAAGGTTGGAAATTATGGGTGGTTGATGTCGTCGTTGCCGCCGTCGCCGATAACTAGTGTAGTTAGGGTTAAGGTTTTTGAAGTGAGAAAGAATGGAAGGAGAGGATGTGCACAAAGAATGCGAGAGTATATTTAAAATGTGAAGTGTGTAGACTGAGACAAAGAAGTAAAAATCAAATTGCTAAATGTGTGGATTGAGAAAAGATATACACAAAGACAATTTGGTGTGTGGAAATAGAATTTCCCCTACTAAAGGCCTTTACCTTTTTTACTTTGGATCCCTTATTTATTTTTATTTTTTTTATTTTATTACAATTTTGTCCTAACATCAAATTCCAATTTTATCCTCATCATATCCTCCCAAGTCTAACCCTAACCCTAACCCTAATCTCACCACCACTTCCACTCCTATCAGCGGCCTCCGACGACCAACCTACCTCCTTTATTTTCCTCCTCCGACGAGCCTCTCATCACCACATGTTGTTCACAGAACTATTAATGGCAATAAAGGTTAGGGTTTTGGCAGCGATGGCAAAGAAGGAACAATTGATTTGCAAACTCTCTTTCACGATCTTCATCTTCATCCTTCGAAACTTACTCTCTTTTCTCTCTTTTGTAAGCAACTCTCTCTCTCTGCCCATCGATTTCTCTTCGTTCAGTTACATAGAGCCGAACTTGTTGAATATATTTGGTGTTCCATAACTGAAGATATGCCTTTTGTTCGGTTACATAGTACCAAACATCAGGCTTTTGTTCAAAACTGGCTTTTTGAACGACGGCGAGAGTGGTTGCGAAGGCAAAAAAATGGGTTTTTCAAACTGGTTATTCATCCTTCATCTTCAACAACATCAATGTGATTCTTTACAATGAAGGAATCGCCCTTTGAACTCAGGCCCATTACACTTCCAATGTTGTTACATACCTTGAAACATAGTTCACATCTGTCTAATACTCCGAGGAAACAGATGGTTGCTCTATTGTTGTTGCTGTTGCTGTTGTTGCTACCGTTGTATGAGCAGGTCGTCGGAGGAAGACGGTCGTCAGAGTGGGAGGGGGACTGCCAGAGGAGGAAATGAGGAGTTGCAAGTAGAAGGTGTAAGGGTGGGGTTCAAAGGTATATTTGAGATTATGGTAAAGGTCCGAAGAAAAATAAAGAGGCAAGCAATGTTGGTGATGGAGAGCCAAAGGAGTGGGGAGTCCAAAGTAGAAAGATAGAGGCATTTAGCAGCCATCATATATTTAAATAGTTGAAATATTGCATCTCTATGTATTGCATAGTGTAGTCCTTTCAAATCATAGTGAAAAAGCAACGGCCATGAACGTAATTGTATTCTCAAGGTGAATCTTGTATTTTAGGATGAACTACGTAAATATTTGTATTCTTGTATTGTGTTGTAACGCTTTTAGCTATTGTGGAAATACAGCAACCGTGACATAAATGTATTGTGCTGTGAATTATGTTAATTGTTTGTGTTTAGGTGCACGTTATTTAGATTCTTGTGTTATTCTTGTTTATGTCTCATGTTTCACTAATCCTAATTAAGTGTATCAATTCCTTGTACAGCTGCATTTGACAAGAACAATGTCTGGGAGACCCTAGCAAAGTTAGGATCTTAAAAGAATATTACAATCTTGGTCTGGGAAGCAAAGTCAGTTTGAATTTAGGGGTCTTTTGTAACTTCATTGTTTTATTTTTGTGGACTCTTTTTTTTTTTCTTTTTTCTTTTTTTCAGTTATTCAGGCCTTCAGATCAGGACAAAAGTTGGTCTTTTGTTAATGAACTTTATAGTGTTCCCATCATCTTTAACTGTTCTTCTCTTTTAATTTTTTTAAACAAACTTTTGCTTATTTTCTTTGCGTAACGCCAAAGACAGGGTCCATGTGTCTATAAGATTAAAACTTTGGTAAAAAGATCTTTGGCTTTTCATTTCTTGAATTTATGAACGAGTCCATTATATATATATAATCATCATGTTAATTTTGATTCCAACTAATTATTATAATCAAATTAATTAATTTTTTTACCTATGTTATACACAGATTGTGTTTGAAATTCACGTAAACATTCAAAGTGACACGCTTTAAAAATGTTGTTCTTAATAATTTTATAAATGTATCAAGTTTCAGAATTTATGTAATTTGATAGTGTAAGTTAATTTGTTATGTTGGGAGGTATATATATTAATTTAAATTTTAAGTTGTTGAATGCAAAAAATTTATGTAACAAATTAACATGGAGCTTATATGTAATTTATCAAATTTGCAAATATATTTTTTATGTTTTTTGAAGGTTAAAAAAAAATAAAAAAATAAAAAAAACAAACAAACAAACAAACCGTCTAGGCAATATGTTTTTATGTGAATCTAGCGCATTTGTTAAGGTTGGATGTGGTTTACGATTTTTCTATTTTGCAGGTTCCGGGCGGGTTGCGGATTTTAGTCACACCTGCACCCGCACCTGCACTTACCCACCCACATCTGTATACAACTTCTTTTTCTTTTTTTTTTTTATTCTGAACCATTAGATTTTTTTGTAAATTTTGCATATATGTAATCCTAATATTCTCTTCTCTCACTCACTTTAATCTCATTATCAAACCTGTAGGCTATAACATTATAACATTATAACATTATAATAATATCACACACTGCCTTATTTAAAATACTTATTATTCAATTGGAATTTTTTCAATTTTTTCCAAATCCAGTTATATGATTTTTTTTTCTATGTTACTTTTTATTTAATTTTCATTCTAATTTTTTGTAATCCAATTTTAATGGAGGATAGCGTTGAATCTCCCGCAATCAAAAAATATTTAAAAAATAGGAAAACAAAGCCGAAAAATAAATTTTTAAAGGAAAAAGCTCAATCTACAAACTGCCCGCAACCGCTCACACATCCGTAAACCTTATCCGCACAAATTGCAAACCGTATTGTGGGCGGTTGCGGGTTCAATTGTTTCCAAACCATAGATTTCTGGATAGGTCCAAACCACAAACCGAACTGTCAAAAACCGATCCGTGATGTGAGTTATGCTAGGTTATGATAAATTATTTTATCTAAGAATTACTCCCGCCCGAAATGTGTAAAAAGAGGGGAAAAAAAAAGGACAATTAAATTTTTTATGTTAAATTTTATGAGTTTAAACTCTAATATTTTGATTTATTTGTAATTTAAATTATTTGTCTAATTTTTGTTAACTAAAACTGACAAAAAAAATAATATTTTAATCATTAAACTCAATGTAATACATAAAATGTCTAAAATAACTATTTTATTGAGTTTAATAATTAAAATACTCATTTTTTTGTCGATTTTATTTAACAAATATAAGGAAATTGCTCAGATTGAAAACAAACTAAAATTTTAGGATTTAAATTGACAAAATAAAAAATTTAAAATTTATTTTGTAATACTCATAGATTTGTTTTTTGTAATTTCCTAAAAAAAATCATGTGTAAATCATATATATTATATATAATTCATTAATTTTTTTTTTTTTTTTTTTTTTTAAGGTAATCCAATAATTAGCTGACAGATTTTGAGTGTAAAACGACGTCGTTTTGACAGATTTGAGCCATTTGAGCCACAAAAATTTGAGCTACCAAACATTTTCCTTTACAAAATTTCTTATTAATTTATAATTATTTTTTTCTACAACCCACTGATGTGATGTCTTACCTTTTAAAAAGGCACGAACCCATTAATTACTCAGTCACTTCAAATAAAAAATAAAAAATAAAAATTGTGAACAACAAAGCAAGAAATAAACAAAAATGAGAAGTACATACACATCTAGTTCTCCATTCAAATAAGAATAAAATGCAAAATTGAAGAGAGGAAATTTGCAAGGTTTTTAGACAAAAAGACACATAGGACAAATTATTAGGTGGTCTTGGATACCGTGTGGCAATATTTTCACTAATTATCAAATTTTATGCTTTTTTATTATTCTTTCATCACCAACATCAAATCGTAAGTTTTACTTTCTTTACCAATCACAATATTTCTAAGACACTACTTAACCATACTCTAGAACCCCGAATAACTTCTCCTCCAAGAGAGGGGACGGTTGAGGAGATGAGGACATGTCAATTCTTTAGGTTAACAAGTGCTTAGGGGGCCTTCAAACAAGGTGGCTCATTGGCTTGCAAATATTTGTCTCTATGATCGTCTTCCGTTAGGTTGGGTGACAAAGTCCCCTGTTGCTTTATTAGATTTGTTTAGTTCTTTCGGGTAGGAACTGTTCTGCTCTTTTTTCTTGTGTTCTTAGATTTCCTTAATAAAAAAAAAACAAAACAAAACAAAACAAAATAAAACAAAAACAAAAACAAAAGTGTTTAGAGTAAGCCAACTTAAAGGGCACATGTTCATTCATATGATGTGGGTGTTTGGAAAGTTACTATTTTAGTAAACTATTTTAATTTTTGACTATTTTAGTATGTTAAAATTTTTGTATTTGGAAAGATAGTTAGATTTTTTTGTAGTTAGATGTGATATTTGTAAGAGAAAAAGTAAATGATTATGAGTTTGATGTGACATTTTGTCTTATTGACTATTTTAACTTATTTTGTCATTTTGTGAATTTTAGCCTAAAAAGCCAAAAAAAGCCTTTGCCAAACACCTCCGTATGATATATTAAGTGAAATTTAAAATTTTATTTTGTCATACTTGATGATTATCATCATATATATACACATCCTAATTTTGGTCATTCACAATTTTCATTACAAATATTATTCCTTATGTCATAAGAATTTGTAACTTTCAATACAAAAATTGTAATATTTCTTACGATGTGTAACTTTCTGAAGGTGCAATTGTAGCAATTGCCATCAAAACTTTCAAGTTATTTTGACCTCGTAACTAGAAATTGCACCAAATACTAACAAATTTTCAAAATAATATATCTATACTACTATAAAAGGAAGACGGAGTTGGTGTAGATTGAAGCTTGCTCACGCTAGAATTCTCAGAGTAATTACCAAAAATTGGAAATTGCCTGAAACAGATTCCACTTCTAGTATATATAAACAAGTTTAATAAGTTGTACCAAACTGGAACACAGTACCATTATTGAAGGTTTTGAGAAAGAAAAGCTTTGGCAAGCATTATCTCTTTGTGGCATTACCAGTGAATTGCATTGTCTTTGGGCATTTGGATTTTCCTGTACTCGCATCTATGAGAATATGACATCCATACCTAGACTACACATGTTGGAGTGGATTTTGGAGCCAAGGTTCTCTCCTTACAGTCTCGTACTTGCGCTCGTCCTTGCAGGTCTTCGGGTCTACTTTTAGGCCCAATTTTAATAATTCGAACTGTTCATATTTTATGATTTATTCAGTATATCATACCTGTAAAAAATCAAGTTGATCGGATATCAGAAAGCATATGTTCGGAAAACTGTTTATTAAATTCTTTAAAAAATAGTTTTTAGTTCAATTTTTCGAACACATACTTTCTGATATCCGATCAACTTGATTTTTTACAGGTATGATATACTGAATAAATCATAAAATATGAACAGTTCGAATTATCAAAATTGGGCCTAAAAGTAGACCCGAAAGCCTGCAAGGACGGGCGCAAGTACAAGGGCCGCAAGGAGAGGATCCTCATTCCTGAAAATGGACTGTAAAGCACCAAGTAATACACCACAGAAGAAAATTGGAAAACCTGAAATTGATTTTCTCAATTGATTGAATTTCTAATGCTGTGTTTGGTTGGAGTTTTTGAGGTGGGATTTGGAAAAGAAATGAGAAATGTAATCCTATTTATGTTTGGTTATAATAAAAAATATATGGAAAAAGAAAGGGGGTGAGAAATAAATAAAGAAATAGGATACCTTTTAAGACATCAATTCTATTTTATAATCAACACAACCAAACATAGTTGGGATTTGGAATTCTATTAATTCTTTCTCCTTTTCCTTTCATTTCCATTTCCCTTCCCAAATCCCCCAACCAAACACAGCGTAAGTGTAAAATTTGCACTAACAATAAGGTTGACATATAGTAGCAGTGAAGTGACATTATATTAAATCAAAAAAAAATAAAATCTTTTGTAAACTGAACAAAATATGTAATTTTACTAAATTAGCAAGAGAGATGGAAACAACTACTTCATCTGTATCACTATACATATAGTTGTGTTCACTGCAAAGGGCGGCTCATTTTTTTTATCAGAAATGTTTTAGAGCTCTAAAATAAAAGCTCTAATGGAGCTCTAAGGGATAGTAGGTCTCATGTGATATGATATTTGTCTTATCTTTCTTTTTTGAAAAATGATTAGTAGTTCTAATAAATGAACCCTAATGGAAGTGGACCCCACTATAATATAATGTTTAATCTTAATTTTATTTATTTTTTATTTTTTTTATTCTTTACCACATCATCAGAACTTAATTAGAGTTCTAAAATTAATCTTTTTTTCTTTGCCAAATGTATACAGCTCTATTTAGAGTTTCATTTTTAGAGAATGTATGGCTTCTACTTTTTTATTGTCAATGTCCGACTATGACAGGTCACATCATAGGTATCACTATCTTCTTTTTTTCACAGTAGTACTTTACTTTAGGCAAACTGATTGAACTGGTCTATGACCATTGGTAGAAAAAGCAACGTAAAATAAGGACTCAGAATTGAACAAGAACGATAATCATGAGACGGTTATATCTCATTTCCAGTGAGTGATGAAAGAATCAATGATTTACACCAAGTTTGCATGCTTATTGACACATGTATCACAGAAAGAATCCATAATACATGAACAGAAGAACAAAAGCATATCTCGCGGAGCTCCTTCATAAATGTAGAGAATGCTCTATCAAGACATTACAATACTACTCTACAACAAATACACATGATTATACAGACATACATGAAACAAACAAGCTAGTGATGTTAGCATATATCTATAGATATCATTTATCCCCTCTTTGCGATGATCTCGACAAACCAATCTAAAATCTTCAATTACAGTAGCGTTTGTATGCTCCTCCTTTTGAAAGAAGTTGTGAATAGCTTGGCTAACCATCTAATGAAATACCACAGCGACTATCAGTTTCTACAGGTGCTGGCTCGGCATGCCCTCGACGAATGAACTGCCCTTTCACTCGAGCACGCTGCTCTGCAAGTTTTTTCCTGCTTTCATAACGTACCTGCGAGCAAATTTACAAATTATCAATTGCGGACTAGGCACCTGATCAGTATTTATGAGGATCTTAGTTACTAGGCAAAATTTCACTAGATCAGCAAACTAATTAAATATTAAACCATTTTATATTGTGCAATGCAATAGAACAGTAGCAATACCACTTCTAATCACAATAATGTTGCCCATCTAAATTATAGTTCTGAATCATGACAAGTGTTGTTGATATCATTCCCCCATTGATGTTCATGTTCGTATTCAGTTCCATTCAAAAATTGAGAAATTAGAAGTAACAAATAATTTGGACTCTTCTGTTCATGAAAACAATTGTAACAATCAATTCACAAGAAAGACTCAATTTCTGCACTAAAAAAAAATCTACTGCTCTTCTAGAAATTTGGCAAAATGATTCCAAAAAAAGGTCTGTTCGCCAAATCTTGTATACATCATATCATGCAGATACCTCCTCAGTAGCTTAAAAACCATTATTGTTATAATAATCCCAGTACAGATCTTATGATCCATTTATGCAAAATCGATTGGGATCTTATAAAAAATCCCTTGTGAGTAGGATCTTTCGACTGTGATTGTTGGATCTTATAGGATCATGGAATCCCGATCAAATCTGATCCTACCCAATTCAATTTTTAAGCAGTGTTTTGTATTGTATAGCCTATTTTAATGTAAATTTTATATTTGTTGCCCAAGTCCCAAATTTTCAAGGTCTAAATGAACAAAAATAAGTCATTTGAAATTAAAATAGACTAAAGAAAAGTAAAATAAAAAATATACATTCAAATATAGCAGTAATTTAGAAAAACTAGTTAGTCTAAAAAATCTCATTCTCAAAAATTTAGAAAAACAAGCAGTAGATTTTATGTTGGTTGCCCAAGTCCCAATTCTTTTTTTCTTTTTTTTCCTTTTCTCTATTTAATAAAATAACCTACAGTCCATTTACTTATTCAATTCTCTTAAGTTTTGATTTCTTGGAATACTTTTAATCTATTTATGTTTTTTAATGTGACATTTTATCTTATTAGCTATTTTAGCCTATTTTGTCTTTTTGTAAATTTTAACCTAAATTGGGCTAAAATCTCACTTCCCAAACAGCCCCAATATTATATTTTAAATTTTACATGGACCATTATATTTTTCACAATATCTTTATGTTAAATTTGATGTATAGAGAAATAGAGAGAATGAATTATGTATTATTGATTGATTTATTTTATATATTACAAATGGTGAGGGGCTCCTTATATAGGAGATGTAGTGGAGTAGGTGATAGTAGATGGTAGTGGTAGGTGTGTAGTAGGTGGTAGTAGGTGGTGGTAGGTGTAGTAGGTGGAGTAGGTGATAGTAGGTTTTAACAGCCCCCGCAAACTCAAGGGGGATAGGAACTAACCAACTTGAGTTTGGAGAGAGTAACAAAATAAGAAAATAATCTAAAAAATAAAAAATGGATAGGAGACACTGTATGGTCGTGTCAGACCGTTGTAGAAGACTGTATGGTTATGGCAGACCGATGTAGAAGACACTGGCTCGTGTTGGACCGATGTAGAAGACAGTTTATGGGGTCATGTCGGACCGTTGTAGCAGACAATGTTGTGACAGTTGTTGTGACAGTTTACGGAGTCTTGCTGGACCCTTGTAGAAACTAACCGGAATCAATGTCGGGACAGTTTACAGAGTCTTGTCGAACCCATGAAGGAGCTAACCAGTTTACGGAGTCTTGCTGGACCCTTGTAGAAACTAACCGGAATCTATGTCGGGACAGTTTACAGAGTCTTGTCGGACCCTTAAAAAGTCGCACCCTCAAAAGGTGTGCCCAATCTGTCAAAAGGCGTGCCATCAAAAGGCGTGCCCAATCCATAAAAAGGCGTGCCATCAAAAAGTGAGCCCAAGTCATAAAAAGATGTGCCGGACATGATGGCGAGGCGCGTTACCACATTGGCTTGCGCGCCCGTTTTGTCGTCTGGCGTCAAGTGGCGCGCGATGCGCGTGTCTGCCTTGGCTATTTAACCAAGGTTGAGCCTCTGAGAAACTCTTCGTTGTCTTGAGAGAGATACTCTGTAACACTCTGTAACCAACCCTTCTCTGAAACACTCAGCAACCCATAACATGGCCTCTTTGTCCCGTAGTTTGCTCACTCTCTTTCCCGACCTCAACGAGTCCACAAGAGAGGTAACTGGTGCGGTTGCCCGTGAACCTCAACCAAGCGCCCCTGAGTTTGCTCCGTTGACCTTTCCTATGCGGTCTGTGGAGCAAAGAATGGCAGCGCAATCAGATATTGAGGCGAATCAGTATACATTGAAATCATGTGTTGAAACCATGACTGCGGTCACAAACTTGTCGCACCGGCTGCAGAGTAGGACAAATGAGGTGCAGCAGTTAAACGCCCAACTGGCTCTGCTCCAACGCATGTATAAGGATGCGCGAGCAGAGATAAGTGTGCTGAAAGCGAAAAACAAGGAGCTGAAGCGGAAGGCCACCGTGATGTTCCGATTTGGAGGACCGCCATATGCTGCAGTGGAGGAGCAGGGAGTAGTGATCGGTTGGCCTTCCTGCCGGTCAATCAACTACCTCGGCTGACCGCGCCTTTCCGGGCGCCGGTCTCTCAGCCTGTCTGGCTTCGACCATCCTCGGACCGAGCATCCTGGTCTGACCGGTCACTTCCTGGCCGAGCAATTTCTGTACGGTCCGGGGTGGCACACACTCGGTCCAAACTCTGCCCGGCCCAAGTTTTGGCAGCCCTTCTCTGGGCGAACAGTGGATCATCCCGGCCCAATGCACTGCTGGGCTCTCAACCTGATCAGTCGATATCTCGGCCCAACTCCAGATCATAAATCACCCTCTCAGTATGAATGGAATTTGAAAAAGATTAAAAATAATGTGAAAGAAAAATAAAGAAAGAAATAATAAGAAGAAAGTTGAAATCAAAACGGCAATGGTGTTCGGTTTTTTTTTTTGGTTTAATAATAATAATAATATATGTATAGATAGAAAAGAAAAGAAATTGAATTCAATGTATATATATGTATATGTTTACATATTAAAATATAAATAGAATATATTATGATGAGATTTTGGGTGGAAAAAATGACAAATTATTTTAAGAGATAGTGGGTGATAAGAAAAAGAGGGAATGAATAGAAGGTTTTTTTTTTTTTTTTTTTTTTAATAAAAGATAAAAAGAGGGGCGGTGGAAGATTATTATATGATGAGTGGGTCGGTAGGATGATGATGATTGGGTGAGTGGTGGTCAATATAGGGAACTTTCCAGTTGGAGCCGCACACAGGGCACAGAAGGCTGCCTTGCTTATGAGTGTGCGTGACGATGCTTTACTGAGTGTGCTCACAATGCTTTACTGCAGAAGGTGATGGATAATAAAGACGATGCAGGGAAAGTGAAATTGAGAGTGGTGGTCAAAATCGAGAGTGCTTCATCCACCATACCCAAGTTCTTATCTTCAAGTAAATGAAGTAATAGTGGTATGATACCCGCCTTAATGGCCCTGGACTTGTTAAGCATGTTGAGTGACAAGTTAAAAAGTGCAGTAGCAGCGTCCTTTTTACCTCTGATTGTCCCAGTCCTCAAGAGATCCACTAGAGGAGGAATCCCATTTAAGCAACCGATCATCACCTTGTTCTCATCGAGCATTGACAGACTAAAGAGTGTCGCAGCAGAGTTCTCCCTAGCCTCGTCTGTCCCGTTCTGCAAGATTTCAATGATAGTGGGAATGGCAAAGATTAAAAATTACTTTGGGTACCTCAATGAGTAAGAAATAGCGAGTTTGGGTGGTACTATATCTCCAAACAAAGCTGTTTACTAGGCCATCTTCAGTATAACTCTTCTAACAACCTTTCCCAGATACATTCCTGAAATGAGCTTTTCGAAGATCTGGTTACCCGGATTTGAGCTTTCAGCATCTAAAGAAGCATCAAACTCGGTTAATGGAAGATGGGAGGAACGTCGAAGAAGATGATAGCGACGCAGGCGGAGATGGTGGAAGCGAAGGTCCCAAAAGCATACAGAGAACAGTGCGCACACCTCCTGATACCCCTCAACAAGTGCCGCCAAGCCGAGCTATACCTCCCATGGAAGTGCGAGATCGAGCGTCACTCCTACGAGAAGTGCGAGTACGAGCTCGTCATGGAAAGGATGCTCCAAATGCAAAAGATCCGCGAACAAGAGGCCAATTCCAAGCTCTCCCACAAACAGGGCAACGGGGTACCAGTACAAACTTGGGTTGCCTCCGAGAGAGAGAGAAGATTTGGACAATGATGGGAAGGTATGTGTAGAAAATTCTAACGGACTAGGTTGAGGTCCGGCGAGCGGCCAAGGCGAGGTTGCCGCCCGCCGGTAAAGCGAGAAATACTAAGGTCTTAACCTTGCTCTGATACCATGTTAAATTTGATGTATAGAGAAATAGAGAGAATGAATTATGTATTATTGATTGATTTATTTTATATATTACAAATGGTGAGGGGCTCCTTATATAGGAGATGTAGTGGAGTAGGTGATAGTAGGTGGTAGTGGTAAGTGTGTAGTAGGTGGTAGTAGGTGGTGGTAGGTGTAGTAGGTGGAGTAGGTGATGGTAGGTTTTAACAGCCCCCCGTTTGAAGAGAGTAACAAAACAAGAAAGTAATATATAAGCTTATTTTGTAGTATAATTTAAGCTTATTTTGTGTATCCTTTATAAGAAATGTTTATTCGAATGAAATTATTATGTAATTTTTCTTTTTGGTAGGATCGTACAATCTTCAATCCAATTTTAAGATCCAATTTTATAAACCCTTCCAACAATCCAATGTAGGATTCCAATTTTAACAACCATGTTAAAAACCCAACATGATAATAGCAATGATTCATATCCCATACAAAAACATGAAGAGCTTACTAGATTTGAATTTAAGTTGAAACAACGGATGGAAGCTTCAGGAAAAAGTTAAGCAGCAGAATATGGAGTCCGAAAAACAGCCTATCCCTCTTCTAAATATTACACAAAGGAGGGTTATCTACATAGGTTCCTATAGGCAAGACATGGCAATTCACTCACAATGACATGACAAGGGAGTTGAGTTCATGACAAATCAAAAATTGACACATAACATGCCATGTCATTGTGAGTACAATTGTGGAATTTAAGTTGATGATCTCAATCTTTTTCCTATTTTTAATTTGAGGCCCAAGCAGAACATGAAAGAGTCTATTCAAATCCTAGGTGCCAATGTTCAGATTAAATGGAAGAGCTATTGCATTAGTAACAATGAAAAACTTCCACCCAAAAAATATTGATAACCAATTACCTTCTTCTCATAGCATCTGTCTTTCCGCTTTAAACGGAATTTGGTCAGAGCTGCTTCTCTCAGAACAGTTCGATGACAGTTTCTATCGTTAATAGGGAGCCCTTCTTCATTCACACTCTCTACACCAGTTTGGACAACTGCAAGTTGATCGACATTGCCATTGCTTACACAACCAATGCTATTAAGATGACTTGCAGTACCATTACAGAAACTGCTACTTGCACTCTGATCAGTGGCAGAAGAAAAATGTCGTAGATCCTCTGAAGATTCCAACTTGTGCCTCTGCTTGTGCTCCGTTTGGTTTGTGGAATTGTTGACAGTTTGACCAATCAAGTTATTAAACTGCTGAGAGTTTCTGGTTTCAAGATTGGATTGATGAAATGTATTCACTTGAATGGACGGTTCCTGATGGTGAACTGAACCTGGACTTGGCACCATTGATGGGCCCGATTGTGTACAAAATGTTGGGGGCACTACAGAACCAAAGGCGGTGCATAGACTATCAAACCTTATACCTCTCACTGGAACTGGGACAGGTAACACTGTCTGTTGAGGGCAAAGAAAAGCAACTTCAGGTTGTCCACATTGACCGGTGGCCAGAGAGAGCATATTGTTCTGAGAACTTATTAGTGCCGCGAAACCGTGAGTGTCGGAGTTATAATCAAAGGTGTGATTGGATAACTGTCTGTCAGAATTAGTTCCATAATTTTTCTGTTGATCACATATGCTAGTTGATGAGTGCAGGGGTCGTAATGCCCTGTTTGTGTACCTGCATTTAGGATATTTGAGTTAAGTAGAAAGCCAGTAAAAGTTTCCAACTGTTAGAAAGTCACATCAAGACATCCTCCTACTCAATATTAACAGTGAATAAGCATGTCGGGTGTTCTTACCAATTTTTTTGGTACTGCAAGATACAATTGCAGAGTATATCATCTGTTTTAAAAATCTTTCGAGCTATTTAGAACCTGGACTCAATCCCTCATTGTAATCTGAAAAATTATTACTAAGCACTGTATTTGCAGACTGGAACTTAATCTGTATCAGTAACAGATAGGGAGAAATTGAAGTTCTACCTATGTTTTTGTCACTAGGAAACACAAAGCAATTAAGGAAGAACCCCCTTGTGAAGCAGGACAATGTAAAATGGAAACAGCCATCTTTGGGAGGGACAAAGGTTTGGAGCTATGGGATGTCAACCATGGATCAAAATATTGGCCTCCCAGTTCGGATACTATACTTTGTGTTGCCGGGAAATAAAATCACATATGTATCGGCCAATACAACCAATATGTATCAGGTATCATTGCCATATCGGGAAAAATCAACCAATACACACATTGTTTGCTAAAATATTTTCTTCTTTTTGTGTTTGTGTGTGTGAAGCCGACCCCATTTGATGGGGCTTAAGGCTTGGTTTTGTGTTTGTGTGTGTGTGTGTGTGTGTGTTGAACCATTGCCTTTTGTTGCTCTACTTTGCCCTTTTTTTTTAAATAGATCATATTCATATATAAGATATGAAGATCTGTAATTGACTAGTAGTATTTGTGATTTGTATATTATTTACATATTATATACTATATATCCCAAATTCACAATCATACTATAATTTTGTGTGTGGCCCATGTGGTTGTATTTGTGGCAAGTTGGTGTCTGAAAAAATTTTCTTCCCCCCATAATCCCATTCAAATGAATTTAATTAAAATATGATTTCTACCTTTCTACCCACACATCAGATTAATTAGTATTAAAATAGGAAAATTTGCTAATTCATTCAAGTTAAAGAAAAAGTTTCTTGAGAATTGTTAAAGCAATTACAGCATGACTAATTATAACAATGTCGCACGGGAAATCAGGAGAATCCCTAGTGATAATATTGGATGAAAATTTATTGTCATGCATTATCAATCAGTTATTTTAGTAGCATTCTAATTATCCTAGATAGTGAAAATCCCTTACTACATGAAATTCTCCATTTTGGTGCCACAATGTTAATTAAAAACCATTACAAACATTCAAATTGGTATAAATAACTAGTACTTGAAAAAAAATTCATGAGTTCAGTCCCGATTCCCGTTACATATTGGCTGATACTCCCAATACCAGTAACACGCGCCTGCAACCGTTACATCGACCGATACTGCAATTTAACACCATGGTGTCAAAACATATGAATGCACATAAGCACTTGCTGACACTAAGATTCATTTTTATCTCACAATACAACTTATGCATTTATGGGAAATCTATGTTTTCTTGAGAAGCATGGCGTCTTAGGTTGCTCAAGTTCCTATCATGATGGAATTGTGTTTCCATCTTAAAAAAGCTGCAATTCTCACAGGCTTCAAAACAGCAAGCACAAAATCGATTAACAGATTGCAAGTGTTGCAACTCTTTCCAAAGGATTGTTAAGGAAATAATTATATCAGAGAACCAGTTCGTACAAACTAACATGGCAAGATGTCCATCCATTTTCCCTTCAAGTGATCAACTTAATTTCTATTAATTGCAGAGATTAATGTTGCACCAAGCACGTCAAAATAAGAAAATAAAATTAAATAAAAAGCAGCAATAAAAACTTTAAGTGTCAGAAACAGAAACTTACCGCGAGAAGGCTGATGCATCAGAGTGGTTCAGTATGTGCCTTTCATCACTAACTTGATTTACAAAGCCACTTGGATGTGGATGAGGATGAGGATAAGGCTGACGAAGAGGATGAGGATGAGGTCTCCTCAAAGAAAGATCCAATAATGGTGAGTCAACCTTGTTTGTACCATTATTTGAACCAGAACTTCTATAACTGCATTTTGTGTAATTATCAAATGTTCCTATTAAATCAATGACTTCTTTAGAATAGTTGACAGGAACATGATTGTTATCACAAGCTTCACTGAAGATGTTAGCATGATCCCTTTGACTTTGAGGTGCCACATCTTCTCCCTGAGTCATTGCGTTAGCATCTTTGCCAGCAGCCACCGCCAATCCTAATTTAATAAGTAAATACTACAAAATGTCAGATGTTTTCCTCCTTATGGAACTCTAGGGGTTATACAAAGATTAAGAAGACATCAAACAGAGAAAAAGTGAAGTGACCAAGTATTTTACCCCTATCTTGTGAATCATACATCAGCAAATTCCTACTCGATTCGACACGTTCTTCATACTTCTGTATTTTCATGTCACTCCTAGGAGATTTGCTCCACTTGGTCTGCGAGAGGTCCTGTACATTTTCTGCATATGCTCTCTCTGCTTCCAATTCTGGCTTGGTACAAGAGCTCTGCACAAAGAATATCTTCTTATAGAGATGCTATACTAATTCAGGTATACAACTGGTGCATCATCTGCCTGCCTCAAACAAGATTTCTTGGAGAATGAAAAACTCTACCTGAGCATCACTCCCTTTCTCGATGCATTCCCCATTTCTCTGAATACAGGCCATATAACCACTTGAATGATTACTAGAAGCATTGTTTTCCGCTGTGGCTTCGACCTTTGGTTGTGCAACACACTCAACTTGTGGGTCATGTCCTTCCCTAGTCGACTGATTGAAGAAAAAAGAAAGGAACAATATTCTATGAGAATGTTGTCTTTCCAAGTTACCAAGGAGAAACAAAAATGCCTAAGTTGTCAAAGATTAGCAAGGATTAAACATACAGCTCGTCTCCTCCAAACATGCTGCCACAAGTTCTGCAGCTCATTTTTTCGCACAGGCTTGACAAGAAAGTCTGCAGCACCTCTCAACATGCATTTATAGACCATGCTAACTGAATCATGCGAGGACATCACTGCATAATCAGGGAAGAAATATTAAACTATACATAGCATAGAATCTTCAGAAGAAATGAAAAATTCTAATCAAAAGTTTGCATTTATTATCATACTTATAACAGGAATGTTTTTGCAGATCCCATGCTCCATAATCAAGGTAAGAAGAGCGAATCCAGAAATTGATGGCAAGTCAACTTCTGTTAGTATGAGGTCTATGTTATGAGGTTTTCCCTTCAGTACTTCCCATGCCTTTAAGCCATCAGCCACTGCGGCAACTGCTCAAACAGAAAATACAAATCCAAGTTAGTTTCCAGAGTGACATGCCTATATAAATTAGTCAAAACAAAATAAAAATGGTTAATTTCACTTTCTCATTTGTTCTATTTCATTAACTATCAATTTCATCTAAGTAGTCTTTAAAATTTCTTATTTCAAATAAAAAAGTGAAATTAACCCAAATAAAAAAGAGTTTTAAGCCAGAAACAATAATAGTCACATTAATGGAAGAAAACTAGAAGTGGAATTTCTTGTTGCCATGTACTATATTGGGAGATGGTGGATTGGTCATGCAAAGAAATAAGTGTATTGCAATATCTTTGGATTAAGGTAGTATATGCTAACATGAGTCAGGGTATTAGTTGCACAAAGTGGGGGTGGGAGAGCGAGGGCATATAAAAGCTTCAAGGGTTGGAAGGGCCTACGGGAGCATGTGTATATTTTATATATTAAACATATAAATATGTCCTAGCAATTATTTGTTTCCGCTTAGTTGGAATATGCGTGTTAAAATATGAATAAAAATTTGAGATTCATGTCAACTACAAATTGTCTTTGTTATGTATAAATAAATATTATAAAAGTACTTTAATAAGTTTAAGTTATTTTTCTTTTGTTTGTTTGGGATTTGTATGTTTTAGAGTTTCTATCTTAGTTAGGAGTAAGTTTCTTACAAGTTTCTTAGTTGGGAGCGCAGAAATGCGGTTTTGTGTGAGAAATGCCACTCAATTAGGAGTATCCTGCTACTAAGGTTGGGGTGCGTGCCACAAAGGAATGCGGATAACCATGCTTGCGGATTACAGAGTATGAGTCTAAAATAGTCACCATGCTTTAGCCAAAGATATAACTTCTCTGACAAGCCAAAATTGCAGTGCATGATTGATTATAGTAATTCTGATGTAGGAGGATCACCAGGCAGGTTGGACAACATTGAAGGATGTTAAATTTTCTATACATGTACCTCAAAATAGATAAGTAATTTTTTTCTCATTCAACAATAGATTGACATAACTGTTATACCACCCAAAAGTAAGTAATTCAGGAGCATTACAGGTTATAGTATAAAACTAATGGCCATAAAGATTGAGAAAACCCTTGAATAGGGTTGCAAAACATACCAACCTACTCATGTTCGGGTCCTTAAAAACTTGTTTGAGATCAGCTCGTTATGTAAGCAAGCCAAACTTGAACACATTTTAAAGCACGTTGAGTTTTCAAGTCAAACTTAAACAACTTATTACTCCGCTCGAAAGCATATATGCACAATAATAAATAAAAATAAACAAGCTACTCGAGTTCTATTTGTGTTTGGCTTGTTAAAATGCACGTTCGAGTAGGGGCAGTGGCACATTGAGGGAAGGGTATTCAACTGAATACCTTGATTTCTTTTTCTTTATTATTTTTATTTTTTATATATATGTTAATCAGTTTACTTCCCAGAATTTGAATACCCAAGTTTATATATTTTTTGAATACCATTCCACAAATTTTGAACATCCAACTCACCCACTTTAAACTTTACACACACACACACAATCCACTCACAATATCTTTTAATTCGGGATGTAATACCCTCAGTGGTAGAAACACTACATACCCATAAAAAATGTCCTGAAAGTACAGAGTATGACATAGATTTAATGTTGCATGGTGTGAGCTAAATCCAAAATGCATCTAGCCCATACAACTTCATGTCTTGGTACTTTAATTGGTATGTAGCAATAGTGTACCTTCATACAAATACCAAAAGAGAAATTTGGCCAAAACCTCTTAGGACCAACCTAATAGTGTGTAAAAGACAACCTAAAATGTTTTACTTCCTAAACCCCCTGAACAGGAAGCATGTTCTTCATGAAGGAAGACTAATATTTTCTATGACAAATTTAACCATTTCAAATAAATCCAGCTTAGAAAGCATCTTAAGCAACCCACAAATGCCAGAACCACGACACAAGCCCCCAACTTCATTTAACAGCTCTACCACTCTTCTTATAGATTTTGTGATTGAAATTTGAATCCTTACTCGAACTCAAAACGGATAGAAATCCAAAAGCCTTCTCATTAAGACCAATACTACCCGATCTAAACTCCCTCAACTAGCGAAGCATCGTTTCAAAATCATCCACCAACCACAGTTATCAGTAATTAAACTACAAACATCAAAATTCTTATACAGACTTGGATTCTTATCTCGAGCCCAAACAAAGAAACGCAAAGCCGATATTCTTTACCAAATCAAACCTTAAGTCCCATCAAATAAGGTCCGCCGCATAAATCATTCTTCTCCACTAGACTCTATCCAATGCCATTTCGTTAGTCAAATTAAGGAAATTCATATTTCTAATTATTACACTAGTTCACGTCAATCTAGGTCTATCCCTTCCCCTAACACCACCATCTACCATTACTGTATCGTATCTCTTCAATACTATCTCTGTTGGTCTCTATTGTATATAACTAAACCATCCCAATCTATTCTCTCTCAATATATCTTCTATCGGTACTACTCTACCTATTTTCAAAGATAATCATTCCTAACTCTATCTTTTCTAGTTTTGCCACACATTCACCTTAGCATCCTCATCTACACAACACTCATCTTATCTACATGTTGTTTTTTAGTTGCCCAACATTCCGTCCCATAAAATATTAAATTACTCACTGAGGATATTTTGGTAATAGTGGTATGTGCTAGACTTATCAAGAAAAAAAATTTGTGTTTATCCTTAATGCATTAAAGTGTCATTATAAGGCGGCTTTGACCAAATCCACCATACCAAAAAAGGTATCCTCATATCAAAAAATTAAAAAAAAATAATACCCAAAAAGACAACTTTCTCAGGAAATATAATTTATATTGAATCAGGGTACTAAATTTGAGAAAAATTGTCTTTATGCTCCATCAAAATTAGGTAAGAGTCATGACTAGTCGAAAACAATTGTAGAACTCCATATATTTAGTTTGAAACAATAGTATCAACATATTATAATTATTTTTTGTTTGTGATTGATTTGAGATGTTTAAATTCAAAGATTTATTGAAAGTGTATGATAGATATATATATATATATATAAGCGTGATTTCTTTTATAGAAATTCTAATTTAAGTTATTGAATACCCTGATCAAAATTCATGGAGCTGCTACTGCGTTCAAGATTAGCTCATTATATAAACAAGTCAACCGTGAACTTGTTTTGAAACTCGTTAAGTTTTTAGCCTAAGCTTGAACAGCCTATTACTCGGCTCATTTGCAACCCTACCCTTCAACTTGAAATTCAATGACTACATTTATTATAGTTTGATCTGAACAGCTCAACAATATGATCTTACATATGCTATCAATGCATATTATATATGGATGCACGTGTGATACCCCAGTCTTACTAATGCAACTTCTCCTTCCCCATTCCTCTTTTTCAGATTGTAAAAGGAAGTACCAACTCAACTGGGAAGTGTAGGAGAGGGTTCAAGAAAAGAGTTAGAAAATTCGAAGATCTTCGAAGATCCTTGAAGAACAACTTCGAATTCTCTAGAATATGATGAGAGGCTTAGATTCTTCAATAATCTCAACTTAGGAACACAACAACAAAGGAGATGATGGAGATAAGAGATTGGGTGAAGAAGAAGGCAAAATGGCCAATATTAGTATCATTTTTAACTTCATTTGTTTGAATAAAGTCAAAATTTTCTCCATCTCCCCATGTGCCAAATAATTCAGGATCAATTAGCTCTTCTGCCTTTCTTTTCCTTTTATTTATTTCCAATTAAATGTCTTGATCTATTGTTTCTTCAGATGAGGATGATTGGCTGTCATCATCATTAGTTGACATATTAATATCATAATTAAAGTGTTGTAAAAGAGTTTCATTTTCTAGATAAGTTTCTCTTATCTGATCTAGTAGCCTATTTCTTTCATCAATACCTAAATCTGGGTCTTTATATAATTTTCTCCAATAATCCAGTATTTCAACAATATTTTCATATTCAGTCCTATTATAGGTATTGGTTTGAAGTACCATAATATCTTCTGTACCATAAAATAGCCTAGGGATGTTACTATCTCCTAGACTATTCATTCCATCATTGTTTATGAAGGATATAGTTTCTAATTTTGCCACCAAATTATTTATTTGGTTTTTTGATTCTGTATTTAAGTCAATATTTATTATAGAACCCAAATTGTCTATTTTACATTCTATAGACTCCACTTTGGTCTCTAGATAATTTTGATTTATTTTTTGATTTTTATCTAATTTAGAATGCAAAATATCAGTAATATTATTTAAACTATAACACACTATTTATATTTGCAGATTCTTTAGTAATATGCAAACTATGATCATATTTATTATTAACATTATTTTTTGTATTTCTAAAGCATATTATATCGTCAAAATTAATTGCCATTTTAGATTGTTGTTGGTACCTAAGAACCTCTTAGTGTATTATCTGGTGCCTAAAACCTCTCTTTATGATCTTAAAGACTTAATTATGGCCAACAGTCAAAAGATCTTAATGAGTATATGGGGCTTTGACATACACTAAGCATATAGGTTTTACAACAACTATAAATGAAATAAATAATTATGAATATATAAAATACAAAGGATACACAAAATACTTAGACGAAATTTAATTTTTTTTTTTTTTTTTTTTTTTTAACAATATAAAAACATATTGCTTTTTGACACCAAATAAATATTTGTGCTACGTTTTTCTTCAGAAACCAATCCTGATCCTTTAATTTTTTTAAGAGCCTGAATAATTCCAAGTCTTCTAGAACATTTGAAGATGCATTGTTTTACTCCAAGTCAAAGCAAATTAAAGAACCTATTTTTTTTATTTTTGACAAGATATGGCCACACTTTCTTTTACAATACAGCAGCCCATTTATTTTTGAATCTTGGAGAGATAAGGCCCACCACTTATACATAAATATAACCTTATTCCTTTTTGTCAAACCCTACTCTTCTCTCTACAGCTTGCTCTGCACTCCAT